AAAAAAAAAAAAAAAAAAAAAAAAAAAAAAAAAAAAAAAAAAAAAAAAAAAAAAAAAAAAAAAAAAAAAAAAAAAAAAAAAAAAATAGTACTCATGCCCAAGTCTGCTGATAGTGGTTTTTTAATTTCAATAAAGTCTATACTTTACACACGACCCGGCCTTTCATTTTCGGTAATCACTTTGAATAATTACTATTTAGTGCGTACAAAATCATCGAACTAAATTAAGATATTTCCTCAGGTTGTTAAAATTAATTGAAATAATTGGTAAAACCACTTCTTAAAAAATTGATACGACTGAGCATGTTTGGTGTATTAAGTTAGATGAAAATTATGTGGAGCAAGGGGAAAAATTATTTTTTTTAAATGATAAAAAATTAGGGAAACGACAGGGCTTGACTTTTCGACTATCACATTACTTATAAGAATCAGATCGGTTTGAAAAATTTCCTTGATGCGACGCTCAGAGTATCTCTCACGCGCTATTTTAATGGCATCTCGCCTAATAACGTGTACAATAGCTATAATAGTTAATTTCGTCCTCGATTTTAGTTTTCTTTTACTATGTTTTTTAGATTTATTGAGGATGTATTTGGATTGCGTAAAATTTCAACAAGTAAAAATTACTCTATAAAATTTTTCATAAATACGAGCGTATTTCTACATAACTTTTTAAAAAAATTTTGTTATGAAACATTTTTTTCAATGTATTTGCCACTTCATTTGAGAAAAAAAATTTTTTCTCATACATGATTATTTTATACATACAGAAGACTCGTGAGAGTATCAGTTTTAATCACAACGATTCCCTCATCTCAAAAAGGAAAATAGCATAGTGCCACGAAAAAAAAAAAAAAGTAACCACCTGACAAGTGGTTATTAATACGTAAAAAAATTACCCCAACTCGTTGGAAAAAATAATTTCGCAAAACGACAACAATCTGAGGTTCAGGAGGCCTCCCTATTCACGACGTTATTTACAAAACACATGACCATGTGCGCCGGTACGGCTCTCCCGATCATCGCGTGCTCGTTTGTATAAATGCAGCACGTGGCAGGCGAATCTCTCTTTTCCTCTCATTTGCCGAGGTGACGATATAAATATAATCGCATAAGTAGCGCTTGCCTGGGCCTTTGGAGAGCTTTCGCCTACACGCAAGGCCTCGAGGATATACTTTTCTCACCCTGGTTTCGAGAGATGTTGAAAAATGGGAGCTCTTTCGTGATAATAACCGATCGCTGCTGACCTTTAAACGATCAAAAATTTTTCATTCCAATACGATTTTATTTTGTGTAATTTTTTTTTTTTTTTTTTTTTTTTCATTCTTGACAGAGAAAAAAATCGGTATGAATCGGCTGCGTCCTTTCTCTCGGAAATACTCATTTTTCATTGCAGATATTTTTACTGCTGCTTTCGCTAACAATAATAATCATACTAATTATTTTTTTATTGAAAAACTATTGGCTTGACCCGTATCATAATTAAATTTATGTTTGCAGAAAAAAATGAAAAAAGTAAAATGCAAGATTTAATTGTGCGTGTTCGGTAAACTA